CTATCTATCTATCTATCTATCTATCTATCTATCTATCTATCTATCTATCTATCTATCTATCTATCTATCTATCTATCTATCTATCTATCTAGACACCCACACCCACACCCCACACACGTTCCATGTTCCAAACGTATTTCTAATACTAAGGGTTTTTACAAAATCTCCATTTGTTGTAAAACCCATGCTCTTGCACTGAAAAATATGAAAAAGCTGATTTTTAAATGCCTTAGGGATGGTAGCTTAGGGGCCAGCACTGTTATTCATTCAAATATTGAAAATATTAGTGTCCCCTTCATTAGGTCATAGCAGAGAGAAATAAAGTAGCAATGGCTGTTAAACCATCCTGATTAAAAGTCAAAATCCACCATGATATTCATCTCCCTGAATAGTGTCCCAGCTTTTCACATATCAAAATGATTCACAAGAATTGCTTTAGTTATAGGCATCTCTCTTCCTAACCACAGTGACATTAGGGTAGCACAACGCCCTTTTCACCATTTCCTACTTCCCTTGTGCAAATTCAATAGAGAAGAGGCAGAGTTTGCATTGCTATGTTTCTTTTGTTACCTGCTCCATCGTGTTGCCATTGTTTTGGAATTCACATGAGCACAACATCTTTTTGCTAGTCAATAAAGAATTTCCTCTTCTTAAAAATTTCTTCACAAGAATTGCAGGAAAGTTGCAGTACTTAAATTTTTAAAAAAATCAGCTGTATTTTGGAAAATTGGAAAAAGATGGGCTGTTTCAGTAAATGGCAGTGAGGTACAGTACTTGCTCAAATTCCAAGTTGTCTTATGAATCATTTTCAAAGCATTGTACTCCAAGTATTCATCTGAATAGTATTTAAAATTTAGTTCTGGGCCTGAATATATTTTGCCTTTTTTTCCTTTGCTATTTCTTTTGCTATTTTATATATATATATATACTGTATTTTAAAAATACTTAATTTATTTACGTATGAAAGCCATTGGGATTTTTCTTGGAATAAAAATGCTATAGATATTGAATTCATACATACCAAGCTATCAGGAGTTTATGTACATCTAAGATAATCTTTGTAATGTGTTTTGATATTCTGTTTACTTAACAAAATTTTGGCTTAAACAAATGCTTATTATGTGACATATAGAATATAGACATATAGAATAGAATTCTTTATTGACCAAGTGTGATTGGATACACAAGGAATTTGCCTTTGGTGCATATCAGTGGTGGGTGTGGCTTGGTAGGTGTGGCAGGGGAAGGATACTGTAAAATCTCTATTCCCTCCCCACTCCAAGGGAAGGATTCTGCAAAATCCCCATTCCCTGCCAATCAGCTGGGACTCAGGAGGCAGAGAATAGATGGGGCGGGGCCAGTCAGAGGTGATATTTACTGGTTCTCCGAACTATTCAAAATTTCCGCTACCAGTTCTCCAGAACTGGTCAGTACCTGCTGAATACCACCTCTGGTGCATATGCTCTCAGAGTACATAAAAAGAAAAAGAGAGGAAAAAATACATTCATCAAGAATCATAAGTTACAACAGTTAATAATAGTTAATCATAGATTACTAATAAGCAATCAAATCATACTAGGAAACAAACAGAACAATGTAAATCATAAAAATACAAGCAACCTGGTTATAGTCATAAGTGGGAGGAGATAGGTAATAGGAAGGATGAGAAGAATAATAGTATGAATGACTTAAATACTTTTATATGTTTTTGTGTTCTATCAAAAGATTCAGCCTGGAAGAGAACTGAAATTTTGTACCCCCTAAACAATACTATTGAAGCTGATGTTGGTAAGTTCTCTGGTATTATCTCAATTTAAAAAAAGACAATAAAATTTTTATAAACCATTTTCAATTTGCACACATTTTAATCTCAATGATGTAATGACATTCAGGGTGGGCAAGAAGAAAAAACGACATGCTTTCATTAAATTACCCAGATATAAATTTATTTATTTATAAATCTATTTATTTAAAAAAATAACTTTCTATTTTCAATTTTTAGGATCCAATGTCTTTACAGAGTGCAATGTATCAAGTTTCAGAGACAGTTTCATTCCTATATCCTGGAAAGTAAATTATACTCAAGTTGACAGTCTATTTAATGGTAGAATCATAGAAGGAAATCAGTAAGTATGATATATATTTTAATACATAAATTAATCAAGCACAATTTGTTTTCATTTTGTAATAGATTTAATGCTCATGCACTAATTAATTATTGTGATTTATGACACAGAGTGAGCGGAGGAAAGGAACAGGGGCAAAGGTTAGAAGCAGATAAACAAAGCAAAAGAAATGGCTGTCTGTAAAGTTTCGCAACAATGCCTGATTAATAATAAGCGACCCGATATTGTAATTCAAAAACCAGTGCTTTATTAACAGCTTCATTAGGCATTCTTCATTAGGCAATTCTTATTCGCAGCCATTTCTTTTGCTTTGTCTATCTGCTTCTGAAGTTTGCCCCTGTTCCTTTCCTCCCCTCACTCTGTGTCATAAATCACGTTGCCCAATAAATACACCCATCTCAAACCAGCTACTGTAATGTGAGATCCAGCTCCGCCTACTGTATGCGTGGAATGTCAACATGGGGAGTTGACAGACAAACAAACAACTTGGTGCTGTTGCCAAACAAATGATTAATTATTTCAGAATCTTTTGTATTATATAGAGCCCTAAATATTCTGATATATAATCCCTGTCCCAAAGATGCTTTTTCAAGAGGCGACTGGACTTTCCTGTTTTCCTAAGAAGACATTTCGCTTCTCAGCTAAGAAGCTTCTTCAGCTGTGACTGGGTGGTGGGGAATGGAAGGATTTACATTCCATGCAGGCAGCTGGACATTTGCATTCTTTTAGAGAGTCGTTGAGGCCACTTGACAAAAAGGATCTTTGGTACAACTGTGACCTGGATGAGAATCTCCATAGAGATTTAGTTATGCACCTTGGGATGAACACTCTTGAATGATATGGGAATAGGAACATATTTTGAGAAAAGTTGCAGACTACAGGATCTCTTTCAGCAGTTCCAAAAGGGCTGCATGCCCATTTGCACTACTTGCCAGTAGGTGGCCCCAAAGACACAGACAAATCTCCAAATGGCCTCAACCACTCTCTAAAAGAATGCAAATGTCCAGCTGTCTGCAAGGAATATAAATCCTTCCATTCCCCACCATCCAGTCACAGCTGAAGAAGCTTCTTCAAAGAGAAGCCAAATGTCTTCTAAGAAAAAAAGAAAGTTGAGAAAGTTCTTGAAAAAGAACTTTTGGGACAACCGTGGCCTGGATGACTGAGAATCTCCATAGACATATATAATCCCTGTCTACTGTATCAGTAATGAAATTCAGACACAGCTTCTTTGCAATTAACTACATAAGGCATAAGCAAGTTGAATAGGCACTGTAGGGCATAGTGCTATATGGTATCAATTCTTAGCATATGTGAAACACTGCAAAAGTAGATGATATAGCTAGTCTTTCTGGCATCAAGTGTTAACTTAAGTTGAGATTTTGAACCTGAACCTTTGTGTGAACATGACAGTTCTTTACAGTCTAATTTAAATATAAAATGTATTTATTTAGTTTGTCACCCAGGTACAAAATAACAGGAAGAAGAATAAACATGAATAAGAACACAGGAAATGGGTACAAATAAATGGGGACAGTGGGTCAGGGACATTAGGCACGCTGGTGCACTTATGCATGCCCCTACTGACTTCTTAGGAATGGGGTGAGGTCAACAGTAATATATCTCTAATATATTTCAATTTTAATATAGAACAAATATTCCAAAGGATGGAGCAGAGATTTTTACGGTGTCTCTGAACATTACAAAGGTGAAAACTGAAGATTATGATCAGCAGTTTACTTGCCATGCAGGCAAAGTTGCAGCATACATCAAAATACAGCGCCCAAGTATGCCATTTTATATTTGATTTCTAAATGTACCTTAGAAAGAATGCAAATCTAGAACAGAAAAAAGGGGAAAAGATACAGATGTAGAAATAATGAAATATTGCTGCAGCATTTCAACCTCTGAAATACTGAATATAGAAGTGAGAAATAGAATGAAATGGAGACATTCTGTGCATGTATTGGAAAGCAAGCCACATAGTTTGTTGTGATATGTGTTCTGATATGCATAGAATTCCACCCATAGGATATTCTATGTCTATCAGAATTTAAGTTGTACTTGGATTGCTTGGATTGCACCAAAAGTCTTAAAATATTTTTCCTTTTTTTCCCCATTTAGTCTGCTGCAATTTTATCCCATAGAATATAACAAACAACCAAACTGATGCAGGGATAAAAATGGAAAGTTTTCTAAGATATAGGGTTGCAACAGTCTTACGTGTAAAATGTTCCTAAGTGCTGTTGTAACATCACTAAACGAAATGTTAAGACAAGGACAACCTGTAATAAGATCTTAAAGGAGCTGTCCTGAACTAATGCCAAACATTGCCACCCAAAGAGTGGTGGAATATGATACCAAAGTCCCCTTGTTCCTTCCATAGATTAGATCTTTGGTGTTGTTTTTTTTTGGATCCTAATATCTTGTACCATCAAAGGCATTAGCAGAATAGAAGTGAGTGACAATTCCTCTGTGCAAAACTGCTTATTTTGTGTCCAATGTAACTGAAAGCCATATAGCTATTTAATGACTTTAAATTTGTGAAAATTGAATCTGGATTACCCCTTTGATGTAAATATATTTCCTGTTGGCCAGCACCACAATTACTTTTCTCAACATACCACTCATATGATTTTTATCTAAGCTTTGAACTAGAAATCAAGACAAACATACTTGCTGAGGAAAGCCAAATTTGGCTCAGTGATTTCTAAGTGCTGATCATTATTCTAACCATTGCATAGAATACTGTATTTAACATGATTATTTTTTTTCTGATTTAGCAAAAAACTATGCAGCTTTTGTGATATTGATATTACTACTGATTATTCCTATATTAATCTGCATCTTGTTCAAGATTGAAATTGTCCTTTGGTATCGGAAATCATGTCGCCCTTTTTTTCATAAAAAAGGTAATACTCTGTTTATATTAAAAGGGAAGAATAATAGTATAGTCATACTATGGTGTGAATGGAATATATGAGCTGCCGGGAAGAAGGGGGCCATGGGAGAGGGGGTGGGGTCTACGGGGATAGGGGAAGTCAGAGCATCCCGGTCATGACTGGGAGGGGCAGTTATGGGGGGAGCTGTAGGGCTAGCCATTATCGGGGAACAAGGATTCACTACATTACAGCGATTGCTTGTTCCGGCCCCTCAGGCTCAACTCAAGGATCTGGTGTCAGAGGAGTACAGGGCCCCAGTCTCAGGTTGTTGTTGCTAAATGCCAGGTCGGTTGTAAACAAAGCTCCCCTCGTCCGAGATTTAATATTGGACGAGGAGGCCAACCTGGCATGTATAACCGAAACCTGGCTGGGCCAAGAGGGAGGTGTTCCCATCTCAAAAATGTGCCCAGATGGGTTTCAGGTGCTCCACCAACCACGACATCAGAGAAGGGGTGGGGGAGTAGCAGTCATCGTCCGAATGTCGTTAGTTCCTNATAAAATAAGCTAAATTGGAAAAAGAAAACCAGACAGTTTCCAGTATATAATCTTGAGCATATGCCCACCATTTTGAAGGAGACTATCAAGAATTATTTTGAAGTCCTAAGCCTCATTAATGAGGAACTAGAATAATTATGGAATGAAATCAAATACATCAAATAAAATAAGCTAAATTGGAAAAAGAAAACCAGACAGTTTCCAGTATATAATCTTGAGCATATGCCCACCATTTTGAAGGAGACTATCAAGAATTATTTTGAAGTCCTAAGCCTCATTAATGAGGAACTAGAATAATTATGGAATGAAATCAAATAAATTAAGGATGAATATCAAATGATGCTGACAACGATCAAGAAAGAAAAGAAAGCAAATTGACTATGAAATAAATGTTGGAAATTGCCAAAAATGCAATCAGGATTTCAGGAAGAAACTTAACAAAGAATTATTAATAATTCTTAACTATATGTTTGTTAGAAGCAAGAGAAACAATATTATATGAAGATAATGAAATTGAAAACAGACATGGGAATATAGGGAAAAACTTTGAAAGAGTTTCAAACTCAGGAAATACCAACCTCATGCTGGTGAAGAAAAGGATATCAATGTATAGTTAATAACCAAGAAATCCAACAAAGATGGAAGGAGAATTCTGAAATTTGGTGTAGTAGAGAAGATAAGCAAGATAGCTTAGAAAAGTCCTGTTACTTAACAAGGACATCTAATATAAGAAGATGAAATTAGATCAGCACTATGATCATTACTAAGTCGCAAAATTATAGAGAATTGGTGGAATATCTAAAGAAATATGAAAAAGAATCAGTAAAGGTTTTAACCAAACTATGCTTAAAACTAAAATAAAGTTGAAAAACATTACAAAATTTAATTACACAAAAGCATTACAATATTAAGTTAGAGCCTTTTATAGATCATCTTCATTTTATGTTGGATTGATAAAACAAAAAGAAGCTAGTTGTAATAGTTAAGGCTCAGATTTGGTAAAACTGCCTAATCTAGTTAATAACCAAGTTGGAATAGGTAGATTATGTACCTCCAGAGAGTAAATTCCCATTAATCCACATTAGATTCTGAAACATACTACGGTCTTATTGCCTTGTTAGCTCAATGTTGTTTAGCAAGAAATAATTTTTATAAAGAATTGTTCCTTTCTCATGAATATCTTGAAAATCACATTTTACATAGAGCAGTGTATGATATTTATATGATTGTATACAAATATGTGTATACATTTACTATATGTGGTGGGGGGAGTTTTAGTATGGTGACTTGGGGATCCCAGAAATTAACAAGAGTTAGCATAACAGCTATTGCTCCTTTTCAGAAATATAGAAAATAAATTTATTTTAAAAAAATATTTAATGATTATATGCCAACCACATAACAGATTTTCTTTTCCCAATCTGGTACTTTGTCTTACAGCGACACACCCTTTGGCTTTATAACTGTGTTCATCCACTTTCTTGCTAGTCATCCTCTTTTTTCTTTTCTTTTTGCCATTAAAAAAAGTACTCTGTGTGTGTGTGTGTGCGCGCGCGCGCGTGCACATGCGTGTGTGTAGTATGTGTGTGTAAGTGTGTGTGTGTGTTCCAGCATAACTCTGGAAAGACTCAAGCAATTTTCAACCAAACTTCGTACACAGGTGACTTACTGTCTGGAAACAAATACTGTGGCGGTAAGACACCACCAACATCCGTTAGGGTGTGTGTTCTGCTAAGATTCAACCTGTTGTGCCTTAAAATGGCTTCTACTGGGCAGCGCAGTGGAGTTGTGGTAACGGCTTCACCAGTACTCCAAAAGGGGTCTCCCTCTGGTAAAGGGGAAAATCCAACATTAGAAATTACGTTTGGTCCAGACATTTCCCCCTTATAAATAAATATCCGGGCAATACCAGGCTATCCTCTAGTACAATATATAATTCAAATAGTTTCTGTTGGCTTTCTCAAGTTATTTTACCGTCTTTTGGAATTTCCTCTTTGCACTTTTGTTTTCTATTTTGCGTTTTGTATATTTCTACCCTGTATTTCTACAGGCATTTTCAAAATGGATTAGAACCATAACATAACAACATAGAGTTATTAAATATTGTGCAATGTATAGCTTGCACACAAAAGCTAAATAAGAATCCCACAAAACAACTCTAATTAACTGGAACAGTATTATTTTAATAGCAGAATTTTAAACCTGTGTGATGGAGTGTCTAAGAGACTCTGGGGAAACAAGCAGAACCATTATAGAGAAGATTACATACCCCCAGGAAAGGGGTGATACGTAAATGGGATTCAGAGTAACTCATCTTAATTATATTAGTTATAGATGTATCTGGAAAACTGCTTTGGCAAGCAGATTCTGTTACACAACCCTACCAGTAATAAGGAGCATTCCAGCAATTCAAGTATTCCTTGATTCCTGAGTCTGATAGCTTGAAGGACTTGGCATTTCTACAGGTTTTTTGCTAGTTATCTAAGGAGAAGTGAAAGGGCAAATACAAGTAGTCCTTGACTTACAACTGTTCATTCAGGGATCGTCCAAAGTTACAATGGAATTGAAAAAAAGTTACGACTTTTTTCACACCACCATTGCAGCATCCCCATGGGTCACATTATCAGAATTCAACCAGTTGGCAACGGGCATGTATTTATGATAGTTGCACTGTTCCAGACTCATGTAATCCCCATTTGTAAATTTCCCACCTGGCTTCCAACAAGTAAGGTCAGTGGCAAGGTCCAGATTCACTTAACAACCACATGATTCAATTAACAATGGCAATGATTCACTTAATGCTGGCAGAAAAAGTCAAAATGAGGCTAAACTAATTTAACAACTGTGTTGCTTAGCAACAGAAATTTTCTGTTCAATTGTGGTCATAAGTTGAGGACTATCTTTACATTTCTTTTGCTGTAATAATCTGCCAGTAGGCTTCATCTAATAGCATGATTGCTAAGAACAGAAAATAGTAAGGACTGGATCTGTATAAATATTAGGGCAGCTTTCACTGCTAAGGTTTGTGTTACACATCCCATTATTTCTGGCTGTTCAGCATGAGTCTATGACAATTTGCCGCGGCCAGCTAATCACACAGTAAACTTGCCATAGCCATCTTGCTGCAGCTAACTTGCCACAGCCAATTTGCCATGTGACAACTCATTGTGGGACAAGAGTTACACTAATTTCAAAGCAAGGGTGGAATAGAATCTTTATATAAAGGATGCAAAAAGAGATGACAAAAATATTTTGTATTTATTTTAAATAATTAAATTGAATTGTTAAATTGCCCTGTGGTGAATTGTCTCATGGTGAGTTGGCCATGGCGAGTTGATCCATGATGAGTTGGCTATGACAAATTGACCACAGTGAATTTGACTGTGATGAGTTGGCCCGTTCCAGTTCAACATGCTGTCTGAAGCTAGTGAGAATGCCCCAAAAAATATTAGCTTGGGGAAAGCTGAACTATGTGTTTAAATCTGTTGGATGTGGAAAGTAGCACTTTCTCCTGCTAGTGCCATCAAGTTTATATACATAGTTGCAAGGTTACTTGTGTAAACAAATACAAGTTTTGGTTCTCCATTTCAGGATCTTCTCCAAAGTTACAGTCAGAAGGAATGCAGATGTTTCAGATTTGCAATTCTTTAATTACATACAGAAGATAGTGAAATATTCAAAAAGCTGTCATATTGTTTCAGGCTTTTTAAAAGTATATTGGCTTCATATTAATAGCACAGTGTATTTTATTGTGTAAATGTTATTTACATTGCAATTGCTTAGATTCTTCCTATTAATACCAAAGCGTTACCTTTCTTCTGCTGAAATGCATGTTTTGTCTCAGAGAATAAAATTACCTAAGAAAATATCCAGACGTTACCCAGCCTATGAACTGTATCTCTACGGGGAAGGAATTTCTGCAGAAGAAAACAGAAATCTAATCTTAACAGGGATTCCTATCCTTTTTCTTCCTGGCAATGCTGGAAGTTTTAAGCAAGGTAAGGTATCTCTGAAGTAATAGAAATATCTCTGTAGAATACCTAAAGAGGAAATAGTTTAGGAATAATAATCTTTACATGAATCTGTGTTTACCTGGATAATAAGTGCTTTGCATTTAGAGTATTTTATTACATTTATTAATTACATTTTAAAAATACCATAATTAAAACAGTAAAAAATGCAGAATAAAATGAAGTAACAAAGCCAGATTATGACCATACCAAGATGGAATCAAGGACCAAATGCCAACCAAAAGAGATCACTTTTGAAATATTTCCAGGTGGTAGCCAGATGAGTAGTTTACTGGAAACCATTCAGAAAGCAATGCTAGGGAGCCTCCCTACTACCCTTGAAAAGTGTTCGGAGACTGCAGTTAGTTCAGAATGCGGCCGCACGGGTGATAGTGGGTGCGCTGAGGTACACCCACGTTACACCTATCCTCCGTGAGCCGCACTGGCTGCCTATTGGTCCCCGGACTCAATTCAAGGTGTTGGTTATCACTTTTAAAGCCCTACATGGCTTAGGGCCAGGATACCTTCGAGACCGCCTGCTGACGCATACCTCCCAGCGACCAGTAAGATCCCATAGATTGGGCCTCCTTCGGGTGCCGTTGGCCATACATTGTCGGCTGGCGGGCCCTCGGGGGAGAACCTCCTCGGTGGCTGCTCCGACTCTTTGGAACCAGCTCCCCACGGAAATCCGGACCATACCCACTCTAATGGCCTTCAGGAAAGCCGTAAAAACTTGGCTATTCCGGCAGTCCTGGGGCTGTTGACCTCACTATTGAGGTCCGGCCCCGACTAGAATGAATTGATGGATGATTGTTGTTTTAAATTGTATTGTTTTTATGTTTTTTATATTTTGGTTGTAAGCCGCCTTTGGGATTGGGCGGCATATAAAAGTTTTAAATAAATAAATAAATAAATAAATAATCTACTTATCCCAAGATCATTTTCTGAAAATAAGCCATCATTGAAAATAAATAAGGTATGTATTTTTATGTTACATCTAAGGTATGTGAAATAAGGGCTGATTCTTCAAAATGCAGAACATTGTTTAAAGTGTTTTTAAAATAGAAATCCAAAATGTGTTTAGAATATATCACTTGAGCCAAGTGATACAGGTCTAGGACAACTCGCCATGGACAATTCACTGCAGAACAATTCAAGGCTGTATTAATTGTATTATTTAGTTACCTTTATTATTGGTGGCCACATTTTTGTTCAAATTATTATAACTCTTGTATTTCTGAATTGACTTTATTTTATTATTATCTAACATGATTCTCTTGAAATTAATTTATCTTTTTTTATCTGTTGAATTGTCCTGTAGTTGGCCGTGATGAGTTGTCCTGCAGCAAGTTGGCCATGGTGATTTCACTGTGGTGAGTTGGCTGTGGTGAGTTGTCCCATTCCGATATGATGCTGTCACTGCCCTCTCATAGTGCTTAGAAGCTGTGGAGGACTGGATGTGGGATATCAGACTTTGGCTAAACCATGGTAAGATCGAGTGGCTTTGGGTGCATTCCAGGTTCCAGGGCTTTAACATCTTTAATTCTGGATGGTATTGCACTACCCAGGCAGATCCATTGCACAACTTGGGGGTTCTCCTGGATTCATGAATCCTGATCAATGAGCAAATAACAGTCATTGCTAGGTGACTCTTTGCGCAACTTCATGTGGTGCACGAATTGCCCCATTTCCTGGATTGGGAGTCCCTCTGCTCAGCCACTCCAAGCCCGGATCATCTTTCAGTTGGACTATTCAATGTGCTCTACATTGGCTATCCTTGAAAAATATTCAGAAGCTTTAACTGATACAGAATGCAGCTGCACCAACAGTTTGGGGGGCCTTTAGGGTGGCTCACATTACACTGTTGTTCTGCGAGGTGCACTGGCTACCAGTTTTCTTCCAGGTCAAATTCAATGTGTTGGTTATCACCTTGATAGCCCTTCGTGGCATGGGTCCAGGTTGTCTGAGGAGCTGCCTCATTGCAAGAGGATTAGTCTGTCCTATCCAGGCTGGCAGAAGAGGCATGCTGAGGTTCCAGTCAGTAAAGGAATTTCAGCTGGCGGGAGAAGAGCCTTTTCTGCCAGGGCGCCCACTCTCTGGAACATCCTGCTCCCCTGAGATGAGGTCCATATGCCCTTTCAGGCCTTCTGAAAAGGTTAGCTCTGCTAATCAGCTTGGGGCCCCAATGAGGAAGTGGTGTCCTGGAGTTGGTTAAAGTTGGATTAGACAGACTCTACCTTCTTGCCAGGCTCACTTTGCTTCCTTCCTCTCCAGGTTGGTCAATTGAATTTTAACTGAATTTTAAATGTATAGTCTTTATATATTGTTTTAATGTTTTAAATGATATTTTTATTGAATGACTATAATCTGACTAGAGTCACCTTGGTGAGACAGGCACCATATAAACTTAATAAAATAAATACATAATAGTTCCAAAAATATGTAAGTTTAATGTATTTAATATGAACATAAAACTGAAGTTTCTGATGCAATTATACTTTGCTTTCATATTTAAATAATGATTAACAAGTCTTACTATCATGGCTCCACTAAGGGACCCCAAGAGATAGCCAAAATTCAAGTCTTCCTGATACAATGCCAGGAGAAATTGTTAGGCATCCAAGCCTACTATGACTAATGTATGAGTGTCTCCAGATAGAAGAATTTGCCCTTTGTGTCCTTTTCTAATATGAATTTTCTATAATATTGGATATATTCTATTATAAGTATTCAAGTTGCCAGCAAAGTAAGGAGGCAAACTCAAGACCATATTTTAATGTGTACAACGTTCCAGTTGGCTTTGTGCTATCTTTATACAGAATCTTCCCATGGTCCCAAAGCTATAAATTCTCTTTTAAGTCAAGCTTAACTACTGCTAACTTTATGGATGGATCCATTCAGTTTTCTTGGCAGCAGAACAGAAATGGTTTGTAACTGCCTTCTTCTGGGGAATTTTTCAGCTTTCCAATCTAGCTTAGTTCTCTGATATTACATGTTAATCTGTCATCAGTAGGCTTTCATTAACAATTTTATTTCTCTTTTTGTCATGAAACTTGAATAGTTATATTATACTACAATTTCTATGGAATAATTATCCTTAGCTTGTAGCCTTACCTGTAAGTGTTAGATTTGTGTAGGTGTTAGAGAATTGCTCCTTGAGAAGAACCAGGTGCATCTGAGCTGCCTTTTCTCTTTGTAATTCCAACATGATGTCAGGATGCTGGGCAATCTTACAGCCTTTTTGTTTATCCAATGCAATATCACTGCGAATAATATCTGCAGCACAAGTGAAAAGAAAATATATGTCACACAGTCAACTTCCAAACTTACCAAAGTGGTCAAGATTTACTCTGAAACCAGATAATATTATTACTGTGGATAATTTATTCTTATAGCACCTTGCATATCTGAGTTTCTTTCCAAGTAATCCTGTCTATTAGGTCTATTTAGACTTATTTCCATGAAAGACAACCTGGCCACTTGCCATTCCTGCCTTTTTTCTTATGAAAAGTTTGCCTAAAACAACTTTTAAAATGATCTGTTCCACATCTGTACTCTGTCCTTTCAAATTTTCCAGTGACCTATTGTTGCAAAGCAAGAAACATATGCCACAAAATAGGTTTTAAAAATATTCAAGATATGAACTTTTAGATTACGATTTTATGTAAAAACTTAAAAGTGAAAGAATATTTTACATTGCTGTACTGTAATACTGCCACTGCAGAGGTGGGTTGCTACTGGTTCGCACTGGTTCAGGTGAACCGGTAGTGGAAATTGGGAGTGGGTCGCTGAACCAATAGGGATGGCAGGCTGGCCATGCCCCCGAACCGGTTCCCCAGTTGCCACTGCTGTTGCCGGCTTGTTTTTTAATCACAGAACAATTTATAGTCAACTGTGTGCGTCTGGGGCACGCACAAAGCGAACCGGAAGCAACGGCAGCAGCAACCCACCCCTGTGCCACTGATCCATGGAATCAAAAAGTTTGGGGTCCCCGGCTTTAAACAGATCTGGCAAAATCTATTACCGTATTTTCACCCATATAACCCGCGGGTTATATG